CAGTTACTACAGAAATGTTTCTGAAGTAAATACATTTGCCTCCTCAGATATTATTTTTGCAGAGATCATTAGCCACTACGAAAATCTAGCACAAGGTCTAATGAAGTGCTTCGTTTGAGATAATCATCAATACAGTACAGCAGTTGACTTCATTCTCGTTACTCCTCCCCCTCCTACACTAGGAATGGAGACCTGTGGCTGCTACAGTAACTGAAGATGTTTGCATATTACAAACTAAAGCGCAGGAATGAAGCAGCTTTGTTTGATGAACACATGCGAATAACATTCACCAAATATATTTAGAAGTAATGCTTCAATGTGAACAGCACTTGCCCTCCAAGATAAATGCAGTTCATGCCGAAGCTCTTTGTGCAGCAGCAGACTTTGTTCTAAACACAACTCTTCCCAGCAAACTTCATCCATTTCTGACGTGCAGACTGTCATCACAAAAAGCAGTGTTTCCCCCCATTTAAAACTCACATTGGCACACCAAACTTACACACAGAATGCTACAAAATTCACTGCAATATTAGTATGCACCGCCATATGCTTAACTATAGTTAGCTGCTGTCAGGATCAGTGAATTTTAAGTTCCTTCTTCATAGGACCTAACGATAAAGTAGATCGATCTACATTTTGCATAACTCTGGAAGAGGAAAAGCAGCTACTTATGAGGTACCTTCGGTATCTCTTATTTCACTGTTCACCACCCAAGGTTACAAAATCATTTCCAGGAGAAATCCCTGCTTCAAACACTAACTTTCTCCCAAAGCAGAAGAAGGTGAAGATTGAACCTCTGTAGGCTGTGGCAACGGCACTACATATTTCACAAATCTGTGGCTGCAAACTGTATCAGCATTTTTGTTCCAAAAGGAAAGCAGTCGTTTTGCAAAATATTCACCAGTTGTGTCAACAGAGCTGCATATATTTAGGTAGCGGTACGTTTTAGAGATTGGAGAGAATCTGAACAAACATCTATCTCAGGAGTACGTCATTTCTGGAGTCTTATTTAAAAAAAAAAAGAAAAAAAAAAAAGCACCTAAAATATAAAGCTAAAATATTTTTTCAGCATAGAATTGAGGCTGGGAGTCCAGGAGCAGCAGGCTGTACCAGTCTGGAACACAAGGCAGGAGCAGGAGGGCCAAAGCCCAGAGCAGGGCTTATTTCTGTTAGGCCTAAGTCTGAAAGGCAAATGTAGATGGTAAAGAGAACGAAGCTTGAAAAGAACAAGCATTTGAGGAGCTTCACCATTAGACAGGAAGGAACAGGCATCCTACACCTGCAAAAATGGAGCTTCTCCTTTAGTAAGCAGAGTTGGAGCTGGTGACCCTGGCAGACAGAGAGGGCAACATCCCAATGCTTAGGCTATTGCTAGTGTCGTGTGTACAAAAGCACGGCTGTGGTAAGATTTATCACAAGAGATAAATAAACAGACATATGCAGATGTACATCCATGTGTGTGTTGTACATATGCATAACACAGTGCACGATGCCAGGGGGTCTGCAAGTCTCCCAGGAAAGCTTTTACCTATGTAGTCTCAGCAGAAAGGGACAGAGTTAAACACTTGCAGGTACATAACCAGCATTGAGAGAACACAGAGCAATTTCTCAAGGCAGTCTTCAGCTAAAGTGACATTTCCACACTGAAACAGAAATGCACAATAAAAACCTCACCAAGACCTCCTTGTTCCACTTTAAACACTTGAGCACTGTACAGTTATTCCCTGATGTAAAATCAAAAGCTTTTGACAACCATGAAGACGGCTCTTCATTTCCTAGAGCTTTCCAGCACTCGATAACACACGAGTAGCTTTCAACTCAAACATACCACACCCCAGCACTGATTTTGTATGGGGACCAATTCACTGCAGAAGAATCGTGATCATTAAGCATGCCTACGAGGAGGCCACCCAAACCCTCCCCCCCCCCCCCCCAGATCAGTCCTTGGGCCTTCAGGCTGACGTCCATTCATCCTTCTGCAGCCTGGATACCATCTAGCCTCATTCCTTCAGCAATGGCTACAAATAAATTTGGGTGATCAAGTTTCCTTGGGTCTAGAAGTCGAGAAGGTGTAAATACATGTGCCACCTTAACACCTCCCATAGGGAAAAACAACCACCATGGCCACCTTGAGATGGGTGCGCCAAAAATCTGCATTTTCTGCTTAATAATCTAATAATCTCTATCCAAATAATTACCGAGTAAAGCCAGTGTAATACCACAGGTTGTGATATTGTGATCTGGACCTATTCTCAGTAGCTGGCTAAAAGACTGAGACCATTCAACAAAGCCTAAGTCTGATGGCTCCCTTACAACAGATCACGATTCTGACATAGAGCAAAAACATTATGACATATGCCCATCACAAAGGAGTTTCACTCTGTGCACATGGTAATTAGCCAGGAAGTTATCAGATTTGAGTAAAAAGAAACCAATCCATGGCTGTCATGAAGCTCCTCGAGGCCTAAAAACTGCCCTAAGCCCCACATGCAGTCTCCCACTAGCACAGGTAGAAGAAAACAACGCTTTCACTTGACTGCTGTGATCAAAGTTTCACTCTTCCACGCAACTTTCACAATGATCTCTCAGCTATTTCAGAAGCAAATCTTGTTCTTGCCTCAGCCTTCTCTGAGCAGGGCTGCATGCACTCAGCCTGTGCCCATGTCCTGTACTGCAGCAGGTTGGGCAGGGCACACTGTGAGCACTCCATCCACTCCAGCCATGAGTTCTCCATTTTGTTCTCTCCGTGCTTAATGGAGATTTTGGTTTTTAGAGTAGTTTGTGCTAAGACAGTCCGTAATGAACCGCTTTCTCCACAGCTGAGAATAACTTTACCTACTTTTTGAGCTAACAGTGATAAATTCATGTTACCGCGTTTGGCTTCTCCCCTTATTAAAAATGACATTTTCACTCAGCAGAAATTCAATGCTATTTCAAGCTCCCAGTAGATTATGTCAACACCTCTGAACTTCTTCATACAATGGAAAAATAAAAGCAGTTGAATCGTAGACATTAAGCAGGGGCCACACATGTTCACAAGCAGTACAGCTCTCCTCTTCCGGGTGACAAACACAAGCGTGCCACTGGGCACGAGGTGCTCGTTCTGCTGTGTATTTCATAGAGTTCGTGTATGATTTCAAAGGTGCCTTGTTTACCCTCCCAAATCAGCAGGCTGCAACAAGACGAAGCCTTATTTATAAGAAGGAAAGAAGATAACGCTTTCTTTCTCAGGCTGCCAAACAGCAGCACACCACTTCTTAGGTCAGACCCGCACCCCTCCTGCTGGCTCTGTGCTGCGGGTGATGCTCTGCTCTGCTGGCACCTGCAGCTCCTGATCTTCCAAGCCCTGCTCTGGGCTGAGCCAAGCTCCCGGTGCTGCAGGGGCTGCACTCCTCAGGGGCTGGCACTGGGGGCTGCCCCTAAACCCTCCCCATAAAGGTGCTCTGCAAAACACAGCACCAGTGCTATAGTGCTATCCTGCATCATGCCAAGCAGCCTGTCAAAAGGACGGCATGCACAGCAAGGCATGGGCAGGACACGTCTACTTCCAGGGTACCACATCCCCCAGCACCCCAGTTCTGTACCGGTACTGCACAGCGTAGATGTGCGGGCAATAGGAAGAGGTGTGTGAGCCCTATTAGTTGCTGAACCAAAACAGGAAGAAGAGTAATAAAAAAGAAACACCTCATAAGTCGGGCAGCTAGGAGAAGCTCGCTTTTGCTTGCTTGAATTGGGGAACTCTTTGCTTTAATTTTGTCTGTTTTAAGTCTCTTCTGCTCGTCATGCAAATGCAGTTTGCCTTATTTCCAGCAGACCAAAATACCAGTGAAAAAGAACACAGCATTTTTAAGTGCTGAGCTCCCTTGTCTCAAAGTTGTCACCCATCAATCCCTCTCCTAGGGAGGCTTTCTCGTGAAAGACATCTTGAGACAATTATTCTTTACATTTGATAGTCAAACACATAGATAGAAACTAACAAATTACTTTTAAGAGCTTTAAGAGCCTTCCACCAAAAAGGAGTTTGAGATCCTCACCTATTTTTCTTTAGTAGGGTGCTGCTTACCTGCACAAAATAACATCATCTACAAAAATCAGATGGAATAATCATTCCTCGGCACACAATTAATATATTACAATATATAAACACAGGATTTGAGCTTAAAAAAAAAAAAAAAAAAGTGAATATTAGAGATACTAGAAGGTGAAGGGAGCAAAACTCAAGAACGGGCGAGCAGGGCTCGCTTGAACGGGTGCGGAGCCAGGAGTAGGGCAGCGCTGTGCCATCTCTACAAGGAGGAGGAAGAAGAGGAGGAGGAGGAAGAGGAGGTTTGGGGCTCCGGCCGCTCACACGCAGCGCTGCCGCAAACTCCGCGCGTCGGCACCGCGGTGCGCACCGCATGCGTGGGTGAGGTCGGGAAGCGGAGGGGCTGAGCAGAAAGCACCAAAATCAACAGGTTTCCCGCCGGCAGCCCGCTGCTGGCCGCACCGAGATCGCAGGAAGCTCCGTCTCAATGTTTGAAAGGACGCTCCCGCAAAGCGAGCTGAGCGCAGCCACCGGGACAAACACAGCGCTTACTCATTAAACACACGGCACTTCTGCAACCCTTGTCCTGCCCCTGCTCTTTCCCCATCGCTGTTTGCCTCTGTCCCATCCCCGTTCCCCGACGGCTCCCCCCGGATCCCCCGGAGCCGCGCAGTGCCCGCAGCGGCGGCGGAACCTCCGCACCGCGCGGCCGGGGGGGGCCGGGAGGAGCCGCGCTCCCTCCTCCTCGCCCGGGGCCGGCGCCGTGACACGGCGTGAACTTTTGCTTTCGGCGGGGCAGGGCGCGGGGGGGGGCCCTCCGCCCAGCGAGCTGAGCCTTGCGGGGGGTGGGCAGAAACGCGTCTTTTTTTTTTTTTTTTTTTTTTTTTTCCTTCTCTCTTTGCTTTTAGGGAGAAGGAAAAAAAAAAAAAAAAAAGCACGTTTTAGAAATACAAAAGGTGTCCCGTCCGGCCCTCACCTTCCAACCGGCTGAACTGTTGCTGTCTCCCTTATCCTTGAAGTAGGGCACGCTCTTGACCATCCACTCGTAGATCTGGGAGAGGGTGAGCCTCTTCTCGGGGGAGCTCTCGATGGCCTTGGTGATGAGGTCCGCGTAGGACAGGTTACCCCAGGCGTTGCGGCGTGACGAGCTGCTCTTGCGGGGCTGCCCGGCCACGGGGCCCGGCGACAGCGCGGCCACGGCCGGAGGTACCGGCGGCACCGGCGGCGGTCCCGGCGGGTGCAGGCGGCAGCCGGCCTCGGGCGCCGGGAAGTCCCCGCAGCGGCAGGCGGCCGGCTCCGGGGGGGCGGCGGCGGGCGGCAGCGCGAAGTCCTCGCTCTCCTCCACCAGGCAGAGGTTGCTGATGAAGTCGGCGCTCAGAGCCCCGGAGGCGGCGACGGCGACGGCAGCTCCGGCCGCGGCCGCCCCGTCGGGCTGCCCTCCGCAGGACGGCGCGGGGCTGGAGGTGGCCGAGCTGGGCGGGTTGAACTCCGGCCGCGGCAGGGGCCAGGTACATGAGCGAGGTCGCGGCAGCGGCTCGAAGTCAGGGTCGATGTCCACCAGCTGCGGGGCCTCGGCCATGGCGGCGGCGGCGGGGGGCAGCGGGACGACGGGGGGCAGCGGAGCGGCTCAGCACCGCCGCCCCATGCAAGCTCCGAGCGCGGATCTGCGCGGCCCGGACGGCGCGGCAGCCGACTCCCCTCGCGGCTCTCGACCTCGCGGCTTCGGCCCCGCCGCCCTGCCCCGCTCCTCGCCCTCGGCTGCGGCGGCAGCAGCGACCCGGCCGCCCGGCGCGCACCGACTGCAAAGCCTGCCCCGCCTCCAGCCTTCCTCCTCCTCCTCCTCCTCCTCCCGGCGGGGAGGGCCGGCCCGAGCAGCGCCAATGGCAGAGTCGCGCCGCCCGCCCGCCTCCCGCCGCGGGGCCGCTGCTGCGGGAGGGTGCCGGTGCCCCCGTGCTGTTTGTGGGCGGTTTGTGTGTGTTTGGGGTTTGGGTGTTGTGTTTTGTTTGGGTTTTTTTGTGTGTGTGTGTTTTGTGTGTGTTTTGTTTTTTTTTTTCCAGCGCAAAGCTGCCGCGTCCCGTTGGGGACGAACGCTGTCACGGAGCGGAGCGGAGCCGGGACTGTGCGGGAAAGTCCCCGCATGGGAGCTGCCCTCGGCCCCGAAGGCAGCGGAGCGGAGCGGCCCCAGGCGTGCGGCGGAGGCAGCCGCAAAGTTTTCCGTGTTTGAAACCGAGAGGATGCCATCGGCTTTGCCGGGAGAGGCGATCCCAGGGATGAGATCCCTTCTAACGCAGCCGATTTTTTTAACAAGATCTGCCTCGTTTTCCGTAATGCTTTGACAACCCATTGTAGCCTTAGCTTCGAAACCCCCAGCGAGCCCAGCGCTGGGAGCTGCCGGTCCCGCGGCTGTCCCGTCGGGCCGTGGGCTGCTCCCGCTCCCCTGAGAGTGTCGGAGTTACTTAAATGTAGCTCGTTGCTCCTAGAAAAATATGCTCCTACAATATTAAGGAGAAGAGTAGAGTAGGAGACTGGATTTAGGCCCACAGCGTAACAGATTATACCTCTACGTATGTAAGCGGGTAGGAACTGCTGGCACTGAACGCTCTGCTGCTGCCGTGATCGTTCTCCAGCACGCGAAAGGCGATCGCTGTGTGCTGCTGCCTATCGCACCCCGGAGTCCCTTTGCTTTAAGTCTCTTATGCGCTTTCCAAAGCCTGCTGAGGACTCAGCCCGCAGCTCTGTATCGTTTCGCCCACAGATCTTTTAAAAGATAATATTTTTGTGTCCATTTAAAGAAAAAGAAAAGCGAAATAGTCCCTGCTCACTCTCCCAGTGCCACGTCCCAGCCCCGGGGAGCAGTGTCTGCCCGCGCTCCCCAGCACAGCTCAGAACAGCGGGGTTGTGCGAGATGGGATGCGAATGGGCGCACAGGAGGGAGCTGAGGCAAAAGGGCAGCCCATGAATAACCGAACCCTTTCCTTGTACTTTTTTGGTGCCTGAAATAAAAGTCAAAGAGGCAGGCCGGCACCCATCGTGCTGGAGGAAATGCATTTACTTCCAGTCTTTGCTGCTTTTAGTTTTTTCATAAAATCTCTGTTCTCTCAGACCTCTGTTGTCACACACATCTCTCCTTCCATATGAGCTGTGCCCGTCAGGACGAGGGCTGCAGAGGACTCCCGGTCAGCACCAGCACATCCCCAGCTCTGCCCGTGTGGTTGTGCAGGTGGGCGTCTCTGGGGTTGCATGTGCCCAAACATCACCGAGGACCCTCGGGAGATGCTGCCACAAACAAAATGCTCCATTCAGCTGCTGGAGCAGAGTTACTCCTTCCCAAACAGCTCAGCACGCTGCTGGCTCCGTGCAAGACATGTTACCCCATCTATGAATGACAGCGTTAAGTTTATCTCATCTCCCACAATGCCTAAATGCTGATGGATGCTCCACAATTCATTCTCTACTCCCACAGCCCTCCTCCCACACTCCACCTTTCCATTTCTCTCCTCCTACTCCTGCTCCCATTTTCTACTCCTCTACAATGCATTTTCTCCTCTCATCGTTTGCATCCACGTGTGTTTTTCCAAATGAAAGACCCGAAGATTGCCTTTTATCTTCAGTGGAAAATAGCAGAGCCTCTTATTCATACGCCGGGTTTGAGACAGCCAAAATAAAGGATCTGTTCTGCCTTTTTACTACTGTATGTCTAATTCACTTTCAGAGGTTTTGATCACGTTCAGCAGGGGATTGCATGAAGTTGCAGGCAGTGCTGTTCTGTGCAGAGCTCCTTTTGCTGTGCGTGTGTGCACAGTGAGCGAACACACGTGTAACACAGCAGTAAGCCATGATGAAGGATCAGTTTTGTGCCAGGTATGACAGAAGCTGTTGTGCTGGGAGGAAGATGACTGCAGATGAAGACTGGGGGAGATCAGCACCCCCATTTTCTTCCCTCCTCTCTCAGTGGGGTCTGACTTTACAGAACGTTTGATTGCATATGGGAAATGAATGAGGCCATTACCTCTCGTGTTATCACTAGCTACCTATACTTCTAAATTGTGTTATTTGAAGGAATCAGAATTTAATTTTTTTGTCTAAGATGAAAGTACTTGGATGTTTTTCCTGATGAAGAATGAAGAATAGAAATAATAATATGCTGTTATTGGCTTGTGTGTTTAATGTGGCTCAGATTCCCACCTAGCATGGTTAATAGGAGTCGGACAAAATCATATTCCCTGAATAAGTCCCAGTGAGACGTACATAGAATCATAAAACCATAGAATCATAGATGGCCCACGTTGGAAGGGACCTCAAGAATCATCAGGCTCCAACTCCCCCCGCTGCAGGCAGGGCCACCAATCTCCACAATGGGGCTGCCCAGGGCCCCATCCAGTCTGGCCTTGAATACCTCCAGGGATGGGGCATCAACAACCTCTCTGGACAGCCTGTTCCAGCACCTCACCACTCTCATAGTAAAGAATTTCCCCTGACATCAAACCTAAATCTTCCCTTCCTCAACTTAAAACCATTCCCTCTCGTTCTGCTGTTATCTACCCTTTCAAAAAGTTGGCTCCTCTCCTGTTTGTTGGCTCCCTTTAAGTACTGGAAGGCCGCAGTGAGGTCATTCACAGCCTTCTGTTCTCCAGGCTGAACAAGCCCAGCTCCCTCAGCCTGTCTCCATAAGGGAGGTGCTCCAGTCCCCTGATCATCTTTATGCCCCTTCTCTGGACCCTCTCCAACAGCTCTCTGTCTTTCTTGTACTGGGGGCTCCACACTTGGACGCAGTATTGCGGATGGGGACTCATGAGGGCAGAGAAGAGAGGGACGATTATTGGGACCCACAAGTTGCCATCACACTCCCCAAGCAGAAGAGGAAGACGAGCCAAAGGAAATCCATAGCACAGCCCCTTATCTTAGGTAATCTGTCCAGGCTGAGCCCCAGCATTTCACCATGCCCAGCTCACACCCATGTGCAGCCATGCCGAGGTGAAAGACTGAAGTGCAGCGTGCCCAAGAAGTGATCCTCACTGGGATCAATACAATAAATACCAAAGGTAGTGCCCCAGCAGCTCTATCTGCTCCCACTGTGTCATGTGCAAGCACCGAGCGTGATGTAAAAACAGAAGGCAAGAGTTTATCGGGTTTCAGATTCAGCTGAATCACCCGACCCACCCCTATGCAAAGGCCAATGTGCCTGGAAGTAAACACAGTTCGAGCAGCACGTATGTTTTCCAGGGTGTTGGGTTTCTGTTTTGTCGTAAATACGATCCATTACAATATTCTCCCACATCCTCCAGTCAGCGGCTCGGCGCTTTCAGGTGCCTTTCTCGGTGGTTGTTTTCCTTTCTGTATCGCTTGAGGAAAAACTGACTGGCTCCGTCTGATAGCTTTTGTATATTAAATAATTTGATTGTGTTTGAGCAACAAACTAAAAACAGGATGTTTGACAGTTACGGTGTAATGCAGTGGTTTCTCTTGAACCCGCGCGAGGGAAAATTCATGGCGCAGCACAACGCGGTGCCTGACAACCAGAATCATAGAGCTGCTTCATCTCCTTCCCCTTTATTTCCCCAGAACAGTGATAGCTACCTGTCATCACTGAGAAGAATCACGTACACCCAAAATGGGCACAGAGGCGGTGGCACAAGGAAGGCTCACTTTTAAAAACAAACATATTTCTCCGTTGTTTGAATTCGTGCTTGAAAAGCATATTTATATCTGCATAAAAATGCATTTGCATACAAATGAGCGCATTATGCATACACTACACATATGCACGGTATCATTATATACATTCTACTCTAGATTTATATAGATGGAGACGTGGTTAGGCAATAATAGTAAGGCGGTGTTTTGACATATATGTATATATTCCTACTCTGCTGGTAAGTAAGGCATTAAAGAAGGCGGTGTTGGGACAGGATGCTCAGTAGGTAAGGTACATCCCACGCACGGATATGCTTATGGTAGGGCCACACCAGAAATGCAGCGAGGCCAAGGGGCTGCACCAGAAGGAAGACGACCCAGCTGTACTCTCCTGCTGCCATACCCGGTAGCTCTGTGCTTCTGTTTACCTCTCTGTAAAATGGGTATAAGTAATGCTTGTCTGCTGGGACCGTGTTCATTAACAGTTTAAACACAGCCCTGCTCTGTGAGGAGGCTGGTTTCAAACCAGCTAGGTGCCAGCCTAGGATCTTCCTAAGAACAGAAGCATGCTTTGTAGCAGCATGGAAGCAGGTAAGAAGAGCCACCAGCAGTTGCAATTTTGCATTTGCCAAGCTCTGAAGACTGAACCTCGTCTAGGATCAGATGGAAGTAACCTCATTTCCATAGGCTCTGAGCTTACCCATGGTGCTCTCAGCAAAGCCAAGGGTCAGCCTCTACTTCTGAGGAAACGAGGAGGAAGCCAGGGACTCTGGGCAAGGTGAGGGGTTGGGCAGACAGCTGCTCTCCCATGACCCACAGAATGAAATGCCAAGGCCCCACTGCACCCCTTGCTAGTACTTTGCCTAGGAGCACTCAGGAGAGATGATGGCTACCGATGGCTACATTCAAACATGGACTTGGGAGTCAAAAGAAAAACAAATTATATGTAATTCCTTAATG